TATCATTTCATTTCTATTTCCTGCTATTCTTCTCATTCTACATATAAAAGGCAAGTAAAAGTTGAGGGAATGGATTGGAGGTTACTTTTTCATCGGCCTCTTTACATAATACGGCTTATAGAAGGATGCAGCGATGGAGATAACATCCACAGTATCTCCAGTTTTTACAGAAAAAGGTAAAATATAATTTTAATCTGATTGGAATGAACAAGGCTCCATAACTCCACCAAAAATTTGGGTGAGTTTTATGAAAGTCAAGAATACTGTATTTCCCAGAGTTTATATCAAATATGGCTGATGATACTTAATTGCTATATTTATCCTAAACTTGATAATGTTAGCTAAGTTATAACTCTTATTTTCAGGTTATCCTATTTTCGTTGTATAATTGTGTTATAAATGGCTACTTAAATTTATGGAAAAGGCAGAAAAAAATAATACCTTAGATTCAGGTTTCTTTTCACTGCAATTTTTCAAAAGAGAAAAAACACATTTAATCACACATTAAGGTTATTAATGCTGAATAATCAGCTATTGAGAAGTCAAATTATGTACATGTATATCTGAAATGAACATCATTGGCCCCGAAAAGTTAGTTTGAAAATGGATGGTCAATGTTTTGGGAAATTAACATCCCAAAATCCAATTATCTTAAATTGAGAACCTTTTTTTTTTTTTAAGGTTGGAAGTAGTTTTGGAAACTTCTACATATTCCACATTTCATTGATAAGCCTCACAGATATTGTGTACTTAAATTGCACAAATCTAAAAATCCATGAACTTTTATCAATCACTGATCTAATTTTCCTTCAGGATTCAACAGAAATTAGTTTGGTTTTAAATTTAATCCTTTTAAAATGTATGCTTTAATTTATGAACATGAAACTGAAGGAACAATACATATGATAGATTTCATAAAATAGTGATATATTAAAATAATTTGGTCTTTCTTTATAAGTAAATAGAACTATGTTCCTATGAAAAAAAATATTCCTGGATCTTTAATAACTTTATTAAAACTTTCATTAAATTGATTATGTCATATAAATTAGAAGAGACATACCTTAATGGTTTATTTCAATATGTCTATTTAAGTGGTATTCATTTCAGACAAAATAGTACTGTTTGACTCCAGTTTCTCAAAAATGAATTCTGTAAATTCTTTGTTTACATATAATCTGTCTTTCTTAAGCTGATTTGTACTTACCCTACAAAATGTTAGTAATGGGTTTTCCTTTCAATCATGCAAATTAAAACATAGTTAAGGAGAGTCTACCACACTTAAGATTTATAGTTAAATAGTGGTGTGCTATCCATATTAGTGATTGTAAGAATTTAAGGAATTTGTTGAGATTTTTATATTAAATTCCATTTGTTAGACTGTATTAACTTAATATATTAACCTCAATATATTAATAACCACACATATTAATATATTAATTAATTAATAACCTCATATATTAATTAACCTCATATATTAATACATTACTTTTAACTATTCAGTTAGCTTTCCCCCCTTAAATATGGAAGTAGGATTTTAATCTGTTTTGGTTTCCTAGAAGGGACACCACAAATTTCAGATCATTTACCCTTGAATAGGAAAGCTTTCCCTCAAATCAGTCTCATTAAAATTACCATGTCACAGAGAAGCCTCAGTGGTGTGAAATTATTCTACTTCGAAGAAATGTTTGTAGTATATCACTGATCTGAGAACAGCACGGGTATAGCCTGCTTAGCTTCATAATACTGCCGGGTTCCAGGGACTAATGAAACTACATTGATTTATCAGAAATGATACAGATAAGCTTTTGTAAAAAGATCAATCAAATGGTAGCTAACATTTTTATCAAATGTATGAGTAGGAGTGAAAAATTTAGTGAATATATATTGTTCAGTGGTTAGGGAAGCAAAGTTGAGTATTTTCATTTGACTAATTGGGGATTTTAAAATGTTGCAAACAATAAAGCCTGTAATAACCTCACCATTACCCAACCCTACAGAAAAGCTAGCTTTGAGCTCCAACGGAAATCAGATTTCATAATGCTTTTTATTGCACACAATAAAAACATACTCATGCTAACTGACCTGATTTGTACCACCATCCCGAAGATAATTCAGGTTCAGAGTCTCATAAATAAGCTCTTAGCATGAGAGCTAATAAGAAAACCTTTCCCAGAAGCCCCTAATAAATAAAGCTCCTGTTTCTTTAAGATGAGCTCCTTTTGCTTCTCTAAAGATATAAGGATACAATAATCTTGAGAGAAACCAGATGATAGCTTTTACCTCATCAATAAATTAAACTGTTGCCCTAACTGTAAGCCTGACGGTAGTACCAAAATAAAAACAAAAAAGTGCAAATGTTCTTATATTTACCAAAAATTTAAAAAAGATATGTGTTTTCTTTTTAACTTCTAGTAGTACTGCGGCAAAAGAAAACCACATACATGAATAATTAATATGGACAAATAGTTCTGGCAATCCAAATATTGTTTTATACATGATTAGGATTACCAGATATCTGAACAGGCAAAGGAAGACACACTGGTTATCCTTCTTGGCATCCGCAACAAAAATTACAGTAAAAAACTGACAAAAGAAGTTTAACAACCATTTAAATCAGGGGTGTCCAACCTTGGTAACGTTAAGCCTGGAGGACTTCAACTCCCAGAATTCCCCAGCCAGCTTTGCAAATGTTCTTCCTTCCCAAGGCCCACAAAAATTAGATGTCATTTTAAAAAATGCAACCAAAGAGCATAGCTTAAATACTTAGGGCTCTGATGGGTTCAGTAGGATTTAGATGAATGTAATTTCAAAGTGACTGAAGATGCATAATCAGAGTCCTGCCAATTTGGCCCTCTAATTCAGAGCTGGGGGATGCAATTTGTTTTTAGAGTTAGATATCTGGGCTGAAAAAAAATGCAGATTAGAAATAGATAAAAACAAACCCAGGAAGATAGTCTTCTATGTCTCTAGTGCCATCTTGTGACCATCTGGATTTTTGCAAATGGAAACTTATGTGAAAGAGCTCCTTCATCGAAGATAAGGGGTAAGAATTCTAAAGCACTTGTGGAAGATCAATGTCTTTTGACCCCATGACATCAAAAAATAGGCAAGGATGTATTTGTGGACACAATTCGACCCTAGTGATACTGAGAATTCAGGCACTTTTGACATTTACTAGGCCCTTTGCCCTACCCAGATTTTGTGTCTAGATTTTTATGACATTAAATAGAAGATGTATTATGGCAAAGATGCAATAGATCCACATAACATTCAACCATCAAAAGAGGGTTTAGAACAGGGGTGTCAAACTCAAGGCCCACAGGCTGGACATAGCCCATGATGTGGTCAGTTCTGGCCTGCGAGGCCGTCCTGGAAAATGTAAGGAGCCAGCCCGCATCGCTTCAGCCCGGACTACCCAATACGAAGAGGAATATCGGGCCAGCATGGCTTCGGCCCAGTCTACTCAGTGCAAAGAGGAAACATGCCAGCAGTTTGTCAAGCTGGCCACACCCACCCAGTCAGCCATGTCCACCCAATCAGCCACGCCCAGTGAGTGGCACCAAGTTGTCCATACCCACCCAGTTGTCCATGCCCCCC